ATTATTCAGTGCCAACACGTATCCAACAGTCAGCATAATTCTTGCTGAGGAATTTCATCTTTAGAAAGAAATTCAAACTGGCTACAGCACAGGCAGTGCTCAACTCAGATTATATTTAAATAAGCGTTGCTAGCGTTGGTTTTGACAGTCATGACATTGTCGTAACATTTGTTAGTTAACACTTTAAAGTATGTACTAGTTTAACATGTTTAACAATGTTAACATTTGTTGTGTATTTAAGATATGTAAATATACAAACGTTGTGATATTTGTGAAACATTGTTTCTGGTGGACATTGTTGAGGTATTTTATAAAAGTGTTATACTCTGGTGGTTTTGGAGGTACTAACACTAACAAAGATATTAAATATGTATGGTTCTCTGATGAAAGGAAATATAAAGGATGGTTACCAGATGATTATTATCAAGAACGGTTGTCTTGTGTTTAAATCTAAAACCACAAAACATGCATGTACACACATAATCATAATCCATATTTTGAAATATTAGTTATTCACCATAAATGATGAATATAAATGTGTAAACTATTCACCAAATATATGTTACAATATATGTTATTCACCATATATAGAAATTACATTATTAACTGTGTATAACAATATATACAATTTGCATTTAATTGTTAACAAAAGCCCATCCTGAGACAACCCAAAATCAGTCACATTTCTGGGTCACGTAATGCATATTATGACTAAGAGCAGATCTTCTCATATAGATATACTTGTATTTCATAGAATGCTTTTCTATTTACATGATTAAGGTGATGGGATATATCCCTGATATCAGAGGCATCTGAATTGATCTCAGTAGGATATATCAATTTCCGATTATTTCAGTTATTTCCCAAAATTATATAACCATACCGCTACAAAATGTGGAGTATGTATTTCCCTCGAGGAAAGGGCCAGGCAAGGGGGCTTGTCCTGTCTTTCAATGGCCCATTCATGCATGTATCTAGGTTGGCCGTCTCACTTCTTTTGTGAGAGTATTACACTGCTTAGCATAGCCTATGTCACACATGTATTATGTTCACAACTATGTAGGCGTCCGAGTATAAGTTATAGCGCAGTGTTTGTATGTAAACGAGGGACTATCCCCTTTGCACTGATGTGAATACCTCTCAGGTAACACACAGTCTGGTATGATAGATGTTGTATTTATTGTACATATATTAATACTGATCATTTGAAACTTGACCTGGCCTGTGAATTGTTACAGATTGTAGAAAGATGACAAATGTATTAATTTTAAAAATTCAGCAACAATGTTTTATTGAATTAGTAAACATGGTAACAATGATAATTTTAATGCAAAAATGTTTATAAGGAACATTGTAAATGCTGCTGTTTTACTTGCTAAAGACACATGCTCTCACTCACTCACTCACTCACTCAATAAACAGGGCAAAAGGGGAACAGTAAATAAAAAACCCATACAACTTTATAGATAACAACTTCTGGTTTATTGCATTTAATAAGATTCTATACTGTTATCTCATGTAATGAGAGGTATATGACATGATACGTTGTGATTAGCAATAGATTAAATTAACAACGATAGGTAATGGATAACAAGTAGCACACAGATAACTGGGTGAAACCAGATGTACAGTAAGAATAACAAACAGCACCCAGGTAATGACCAGGAGACCAGTAGACTAACATGTAGTCTATAAAATATTTTATAACACAATACGATTCTCAAAAATTTAGGCTTTCCTCCCATTATTAGATGTGATATAAAATACTATTACTATTATAACACGATAATTGGCATTATGTCCAACTCACTCACAACAGGATATGGAACTTATTTCTTTGTCAGTGCACTGAGAAAATAACTTTTACAAAACAGCTTTTGAAAGTTTTGTGTTGTGTTTGAACATCATTCTATTTACTAAGCATGCTGAAGATGTTTCATACAATATGGCCATTTTGGGATAGTATTAGCACTGATGAGAATTACTGTTTCATAATGTTTGTTTTAGTGCGAGTTGACATTTCCTAACAAGTATTTGGCTTAAACAAGCAACGTAGTGTAAAAGAGGCTAGATCCTCCATCTGCTTATATCAGCCTTGTCTATTTCTGTATCTTAATGTTTCTTGACAGGTAATGTTTTGAGCCTGCAATGTATCATCTTATTTGTTATGCGTTTGTAGTTATTCAACACATTTTCATGAATAATTTGTTGTCTGCACCAACAGCCACCACAGATAATGCCCCAGACAATCTCACAAATACCATGTATACAAGTTACAACTATACTTTTTAATTGACGTGTGTATTTCTATATCCCCTGTTACAATGAAACACTCTATTCAGCCAAGCAACTTCATAGTTCAACATATATAGAGAACACTATTTCTTATACTGTAATAGAATAGTGGCAAGCTTGCAGCATGAATGTCTATAACTATATCAGAGATGTAGAACATTTTATAATCTTATCTCAGTACACAAACATTCTATGCTTGTCGTAAGAGGTGACTAACGGGATCGGTTGGTCAGGCCTGACATGCTTGATGCATGTCATTATATCCCAATTGCGTGGATCGATGCACATAAGGTCAATCACTGGATCAACTGGTCCAGGCTTGATTATTTACAGACCATCGACAAATAGCTGGAATATTGCTGAGTGCGGCGTTAAACAACAAACAAACAAACAGTATTCGGCATGGCTATTTACAGTTACAGTTATTGTTGACCATGTCCCGTGTGAGCAGCTTTGCACCAGACTGTCATAGGCACACCCAACGCTGGATGAAAGGTCTCAGGTCGGGATGTCTGGAGATGTCATTCCTGAGGGGAGACCCTCAGCTCTTGGTGACAGATACTGGTAATGGCTTTAGAATGACCCAGTCTTACCTGGTTCAGCCAGCCATGAAGCTGGGCAACAAAGCATGCCTCTTGGGGTGTATTTGTTTCCGAACGTTCCTTTGCAATCAATCTGGAGAACATATGGTAGGATTTGTTTATGTTCCTTCTCGTATATGTTGTGTTATGGTGTAGTCATCTTCACGAGGCAAGGGCGTTAACTGACTATAAAAGTCCAGTTTCCACCCTTGCCGAACTTGGCTGGAATTCCAGAGTTATATTTTGGCTGGACTAACGAGTCTATGCATAGTCCAATCAACATCGCGTAACAAACTACACTTCCGGTTTGTAAAACATCATGGATTTCAACGTGCAGATTTGGGTTGACTGAAGGATTTGCAAAAAACGTGTACCACCAACTGGGGTCCACAGATATTGTGCACATCTTTTCATGTTTTTAATCAAGGTGCTCAAGTGATTTGATGCACTTCACAAGGTAAAACCCATTTTATTACAATGTAATATTATCAATCCAATTGTCTTGACTGAGTGCCGCTATCTTCCATCCTTGTTGGGCAAGGGTGGAAACTGGACTTTTATGATCAGTTAACACCCTAGCCTTGGGAAGATGTGCTGTAGTCAGCAAAATGAGATTAGTCAGTAATAGAATCTAGACCAGACCAACCAGTGGTTGTTAGCATGCCCAATGACACATGCCAATGGGGTAAATATTTAAGAATTGACTAAAAATTGTGTGCTTTAGGCAGTGTGCCCCCATAAACCCCCAAAACATATTAAAGTCAATTGTTATATAGAAATATATCAATAATAACTTCACAGACTGCTTCTTTGATAGGAAACACAAAAAATTCTCGACAACAATACAAATCAGTGACATTGTTTAGCACATTGATGCAACCCTAGCCCCACCTTCCCAAGTTTTAGACATATTAGAAATCAGTATTCCGGTACTGAGCCTGGCCTAATTTGTTTGGTTTTATGGGAACAGAAACACAAAAAGAATCTAATACCATTCTATTTATTTATAATGGCATAATCAGCCGGCTCACATATCAAACCCATCCAATCTTCATTTTAACAGCTCGTGTGGCAAATGCCCATGAAGATCCCTGTCAGAATTGTTATTCAGCAATCCATGCTTGTCGTAAGAGGCAACTATGCTTGTTGTAAGAGGCGACTAACAGGATCAGGTGGTCAAGCTTGCTGTCATGGTTGATGCATGATATCAATCACTTGGTTGTCTGGTCTAGACTCGATTATTTACAGACCGTCATCATATAGCTGGAATATTGCTGAGTTAAGGGGTAAACAACAAACAAACAAAAAGACTTATGGCAAATATAAGGTACTAGGAACCAGTTATTGTTGGCTTCTTATGGAGTTGAAAAAACATTCTTGCAACAAGGTTGTACATGTAGTATGCATCATCATGATGATGGGCATATGTAATAAAAACATTTGGTATTAAACAATATTTGATTTATCATCCAAAACTGTCTTCCACAAGAGATCAAGCAATATCTCCTAGGAGAAATAAAATTGCCCCACAGTGCTTTGCAGATCATTGCAACATCACAAATTACAATGAATTTAAATGACATAATTAATCTGCCTACCAGAATCTTTTACTCTCTAGACACTGGTTATCAGGTTATTACTGTTTACAAATTGAAAAAACCATTTAAATGATAAACCGAATCTCACCCTTGTGTCTTTTGATATAAAATATAACAATACTTGTGAATACAATTTTAAAAAGTTTACCGTAGTTTAAGAATGAAAAATAATAAATCTACATGTTATGTGAACACTGTGCATGATCTAGAATTATGTAAAAGGAATTCACCCTATAACCCAGATGCCATGTGTTATGAATCATTATTTGAATACTGTGATAATACAAATTATGACCAGTAATAAAAGTAAGAAGTAATCATGGTAATAGAAACAACAAAACAAGAATGTGCACCCAAGAAAGTACCACTGCCATCTACTAGTTTATGTCCTCCAGAACACATACCGGTAGTACATCCTCAAGACCCTTTGAAGATTGCTCAACACTGCAGATATCTCCAGATGGTTGGAGGCCCCAAACAAACACACCCCACTGACAGAGGAGTGCTACACTTGGCTGTTACTTGTATGTTGTGGGCTGCAGGGAGGTTTATTTCGAGCCCACGCTGCTTCCCTCTGAATCAGGCAGGTCAAAAACAGGCTGTCAGGTCACGTGGTCCATATTTGGCAGTGAAATCCTATCTGCTTGGAGCAGTAGAATGGAGGTGGCTTTCTGCTGAGTTGGAAACAGAAGGAACCTTGCTCCATTTGATTATAATTGTGTGGATTATACCAGTATTTGAGCCAGGTATGTAGTGTTGATTCTGGGGGACTGGGTCACTTGGAGTTTGTTTGAAAAGTTGGGAGTGTTACTCTCACCTAATGATGTGCTCTTTGGGATGCCGGGTACTGTCAGTTTGGTATTTACTTCAATTCGGAAATCGGGATACTGGCATATAAATAACCATCACCTACGGAATCTGAGCAATATATGTTGGATGTGTATGTATACTTGATCATCGAAGTAAGTACATAGTTACATGTATATGATGTAAGTATGAAGTTTGGCTTGCCCTTCTCCTCCATTTTGAGAAGATCTGACACTTGTTCCGTAGAGCCAGGAAGTGAGATGTGGAACTGGATGCCTACTATGGCCAAACCATGTCAGCCGAGCTGCAGTGTGAACCTAATGGTGGTATTAAGTCATAATTGGGGTCACAGTATCTCAAAGTGGCAACCCAGAGCAACATTGTTGTTTCTGTTGGTTTAAATACACACAAGGATTACATGTCTTACTGGTGTGATGTGTGTTGAATTATTGTGGAATGTGATCACTGTAACAAGTGGTTGTTTTGTTGTGTTGAAATTTATGGTGACATGAACCTCAAATATATATATATATTTATATATTTGAGAAATAAAACGACGAGTGGGGGTTGTTTTTGTACAATAAACTGCTGCAGGGAGAATAAACCCTAAGGGGTGCAGCCCTGGGTGGTTTGTTCTCCCTGCAGTGTTTTATGGTACATTGTACGATAAAGAACTCCCACTCATTTTATCTTATATGAGATATCAACATTATCATGATTATGTACAGCCTCTTTAAGGATGTTGATAAAATGTGCAAGCTTTAGAAATATTTACCCTAATTTAAAAAATGATGACTCCCTGAATAGAATCAGACCTGGTCAATGTCGGACAAGTCCCTTTTATGAACAGGTGGGTTAGTTTGGTATTTTCGCACATTCTCCCAATCCTCATTATGTACCTTTGCTCCTAATACCGATTGTCGTATCTCTTCCCACTTTGGGATGGGGTATATATATATACGATTTTAAACTCATATTTGATGAGTGACTAATGACATAATGACACTTCCTAATTACTCATATAAACATCATACATCCACTGGATAGTTGTGTGATGTTCATTTTGTACGGTATTGGCTATACAAAATCTGAATATGTTACTTTCTTTTGAGGAGATGTATTATCATGATTATACACATGTTATGAACAAGATAAACACAGTAGAAAGTATATTTGACTCAAATTTAGGCTCATATGATGTAAATATTTATTATCTGATTGTTAGTAATAGTAAGTCTTTGAAAATAAAATCTTTTTAGAGCTTCCTTCATGTTTCCTCCTGGGAAAGAATTCAGATGGGAGTGTCTTGCAGTTCAGAAACAGAAGTGTTATACTACTCAACTTATGACAGGGATAATCAGATATGTCTTTCTATTTAAATATACACCTGACGTATTATGAGAATCAGTTTTGTGAAACATGGAGAAATAAAAAATATCAGCATGATCAGAAGTGGAGTAGTATATATTTGTACATGATGAAAGGAATACTTCTCAAACAAGGTTTTGGCTAAACCTAGGAACATCTGTTTGAGATAAATGTATGTGAAATGGCAAGAAGCATGCCCAGGTTATGGCATGCTATGATACCATGTGTGTTTATAGCCACTGTAGATATGCTATCAGTCTGGGCAAGATGGAGTCATATTACATTAGCCTGTGCCCGTCCAAGCAGAGAATTTCAGAATTTTGTTTTTCTTTCACCCAAAACATCCTGATATATATAAAGAAATGTTGAAAATTGATGAAACAAAAATATTTTCATTGGTGTAAAAGAGTGAAGCATGTTTTGAATAGCCCTGATGCTCTGATGGAGGACAAGACGTACATGTATATACTTCTTCTTTGTTTGTGTTTCACAATGTGGAGGGGCAGTCGGGTAGGCTAGTGGTTAAAGCGTTCGCTCGTCACGCTGAAGACCCGGGTTCGATTCCCGACATGGGTACAATGTGTGAAGCCCATTTCTGGTGTCCCCCGCATTGACATTGCTGGAATATTGCTAAAAGCGGCGTAAAACCATACTCACTCACTCACTCACTCACTCACTCACGCACAATGTGGAGTGTTTGTTTCCAGTGTTTTGTTGAAGCTCTGGTGTGACCTTTCCACCTGCTGATCTCTGGAAACCAGGTTAGAACTGATCCTCATCAACCCATGCTTGTTGTAAGAGGTGACTAACAGTATCGGGTGGTCAGGCTCAGTGTCTCAGTTCAGGCATGTCATCGCATCCCAACTGCGTAGATCGATGCTCATGGTGTCAATCACTTTTGTTTGGTCCAGACTCGATTATTTACTGACTGCTATCACTTTGTTGAAATATTCCTGAGTGTTGAACAGCAACAAGCAGGCCTTCCCTCCTGTCAATGATAATCAACAAGGCATATCTCAGTGATTAAATGCATTATTATTTACAAATAATTATCAGGATTGCCTCACAAGTAGGGTTGTTTGGCAATGTTGTGTCACTAGGAATTTACAGCAATAGAAAATATCTGTTTTAGTCGACTCGTCCTTATGATGATAACATATAGCAAAACCCAAAATAATGGCAAGGTTTTACTAGTCATGCTTGTCCCTATGATCATGATGATACCTTTAACCAGGCAAGGACTTATAGGAATGATAGGACTAATGCAAATTTCTAACACTGATTTTATTATCACAATTTTAATAATGTACATGATGTTGGTTGCTTATAGAATACATCACTGGTTAATCTGATTTTCTTGTGACTACATTCAGTGATGATGATGATGATGATGATATATGATGATGATGATATATGATGATTTATGATGATGATGATATATGATGATGATGATGCTGGTATATGATGATGATGATGATGATGATGATGGTAGTCATTAGAATGGCATGAAGCAGTGGATGAAACAGCAATTATTATACATGACACAACAAAAAACAAAAAGATTTTGATGTTAACTCTAGTTAGCTCATGAATGTAAAAAATTATGAATCTGATAGTCTGAAAATGAAACACAGATCAAGATCGTAGTACTGAGTATTCGACTTAAAATAGATTGCACTTTTCATTGAGACAATCATTGTGTACAGTGGTTGCACCTTTTCCCCAGTCGCCCCATCCCAGGAAAGCGTCACATGCATAAACAGGTTGTTCTTGTCTAGATCAAGAAAGTATGTCTGCTAGTCACTACAGGTGGGCCTTCGGTTTAGTAGGCGCACAACTTGAGATGTGAATATTACATATTGGAGTAGTAGTCATACATTAAACATTATTATAAACAGGATAAAGATTAGACTGACATTAAGTCCCAGAAACAAAGTCATTTTATTCAAAAATATATATCTACAAAATAAGAAATAAAAAATCCAAATGGAGCCCAGAACAATCCTTAATTTCAGGATACAGCTGAGGCAATCTAAAAAAGGTATCTGGGAGACAAACTAGATAAAGATGTGATGGTGCTGTTTACAATGGTTGGGTATCACATGTAAAACATATTTCAACTTGTTTGATTGGGAAAACTATTTGTTATGCTATTAAACTAATATTAGCCTGACTCTCATCATCATGACATTTGGTTATACTGTACATGTTATAAGGTGTTGTCTTAGTGGATGTTTGTTAATCCTTTAACATGCTTAAGACTTGAAGAATTCTATCTTTACAACAAATCTAATGTTAGTTAATGAGAAAGAAAACAAATATTAACAATCTTTTATTATTACTTAATTATATGTAAGAAGGGAATAATATAGACATGATAGATGACTTGACTTTACAAAGTTGATGTTATTATTCTTCGCTTCTCATTGGGGGCTCACCCTTCACGACATTCACAAACTTACATTGTCAATTTTCATACATCTGTTATTTTGAAAATGCCTTGGTGTGCTCAGTAACCCACTGAAGCCAAAAAGGTTTATTAAAATAGAATAACTTTTCCATAGAAAGAAACATCTTGTCTACCAGCCAACCCATGACAGGTTGTCAATTTTATATTGAGAAAAACAGTTAACTACTTATAGCGAACTCAAAGGGGCCACTAATTTTAGTTTGTTATAACCATAATCTGTTATAGGTCTATATACTGCAAATGGCTTGTTCGTTATAAACGTTATACATTTTCAAAGCAATTCAGTCACACTGTATGAATATTCAATGTGCATTAAACTCCTGCTTTCTCTATAACTTTCTCTATAGCATCATCGAATCCATTAATGTCACTCCGTTGACATCCTCCCATCGTAATCAGCTGTAGGGTCATGCAGCGTAACTCACTGTGGTGACCCAGGCCTGTTTCTATGTACCTCTTCATCTCGACTGTCAGCATTCCCCATCCCTGTTTGAAGTGACCCAGCTACAGGTTGAACATGTCTGTCAGGTTTGTCTGCCTAGCTGCTAGGTGATCCAAGGTATTCCGGCAACCCTACCTTGAAACACAACAAACATCAGGTATTTCATCTCTCTGTCATGGTACAGTCAGAGATTACTTGGAGCTTTTAGGTAGAGTTAACTGTTTGTTGAAAAATAAATTAGGTAAGAGGGAATAATATATTCATTGAGTTGTTAGGCATGAATATGTTTATGCTTAGATCTGATTTGGGTGCAGTGGGGTAGCTTAGTGGTTAAAGTGCTCGCTTGTCACTGAGTCGTCTTGCTAAAGGCCCGGGTTTGTTCCCCACATGGGTACAATGTGTGAGTCCCAAGTTGTGATATTGATGGAATATTGCTAAAAGTGGTGTAAAACCATAATCACTCAAATCTGTATTTATGATGGTGCAGGATTTCAGTTATTTGCTTGAAAACAAATAGCATTAGGACATTTTCCGGATTTAATTATCTTTTGAAAGGACATTCTTCTGTATCATAACCAAGTTTGCAAAATCATTTGGATGACAATCAGTAAATGTCCTAGAAAATGAACTAACATGAAACATTTATACTTGTATCTAGT